TTTCTGTTAGAGTAGCACCTAAAAGACCAAGACTGCACTGTGTTAGATGCTGTGCAGACACTTTATGACAGTGGTCTCCAATCTTTTAAAGCATGAGATCACTTTTCAAATTTAAGTGCAATCCAAGATCTACCTCAAACCCAAATACCCCTAGTTTATAGCCTCTTAGCCAGCCCAGTCAGGATCACCTGTCAGAGGCTCCAAGATCCGGATCAACTAGCTGGTGACCACTGGATTATGTCCTTCTCCCAAAGAACCTACACCAATGGAGTTGGGGAAGGGAGGAAAGAGATTGATGAAGTGACTTGACAATGTCACACAGCAGGGTCAGTGGCAGAGCCACAATTAGATCCCATATCTCCCAATTCCCATTTCAACTGCCCATCTCTCAGACCATATTACCTCTCACTAGGGATGTCAACACGTGGTCGACTACACGATTAACCAATAAGCCTGGGCTTATCAGTTAACTCTATCAGCTTCATGCACACCATCCAGCTGCCTCCCACAGAGGCAGCAGTGGGGGGGAAGGGGGAAAGGCAGGAGCCAATATGTGCAGCAGGATTGGGGGGGAGGCAGGAGCCGGCTCCTCACAAGCATTGGCTTCTACTGCCGAACTTGTCCCCCTACCCCACAAGTTTTTTTCCAAAGGATAACACATTTACAAAAATACCCAATAGTTAACATCCCTACCTCTCACTCCCTATTTAATTTGCCTGTAGATTTCAAAGCCATGACGGCTTTTCTCTGCATACCTCAGTTTCAGCTCAGGCATCATTGCTGCTCTTGTTTTGCTTTGTTACCATATGCACATGCATGTCCCACTTAACAGCCCATTCTGTTAACACACCCCTCTGGAATGTTTGGTACTTAAAAATGGGCAGGTCTAATTAGCAGTGTCCACCACGCCAGTGGGTGGCTCAATCTGAGAAATCAGATTAACAGAGCGGGGTGGGGAACCTTGTTTAGGTCGGTTCAAAGCCACTGGCCCACAGAAAAAAAATCAGTCCAGAGCTGCACTTAAGTGAAAAGCAAAAATAAAACAAAAAACTCAAACTCCCTCTCTTTCCCCAATAGGATTTCAACAATAATACAGGACACACTTGACATGACATCACAATCTATGTTACATCTTATTTAGAAAATACCAGACATTTATATTTTCTCAATGTGTTTCCCAAACAGAAAGCTCAAATACTGGACTGTCCAGTTCAAAACTGGACACCTGCCAACCCTACCCCCCAAACCTCACTGACACTGACTCTCCCCTTCTCAGTCAGGACAGAAGTAAGACACTCCCCACATTCCCTTCACACACCAGAGCGTAGGAAGGCCCAGGCTAGTAGATTGTGTGTGCTGCAGGAGGCTGGAGCACTAGCATGTATCTCCCCATGCTGAGGTGGAGCCCTGAGCCTCAAGGGCTGAATCCAGGCAAGCCTGGGGACCACATCCAACTCCTGGGCTCTCAGTCCCCACCCCTGCAATAGAGGAAGCACAACTAAAAGAAATGGACTGAATATCCAAGTACAACTCACTACTTTTCCCAGATGTTGGAAACAGAAATTAAGCAAGGCCGGCAAATTGGATGTTATAATAGATCATTATTTTCTAGTTCTAGTTATCTCAGAGTCAAGCTGTGCATTTTTAAAACTGTATTCCTAGGAACAGGTGTTGAGAACCAAGTTTTGCTCAAAGGAAGGTTCACCCAGCATGTTTTTCCATAACTTCAATATATCCTGCAAACATTGTGGGCTTTGTCCATAAAGTGACATTTAAATCTAAGGAGGGGGAGACTTAGCTCATGCAAAACACAATAAAACTTGCTCCGCATTTGTAATCTAAGAGAAAAATGTAAAATTGTCTGAACGCATATGAATATACTCATGTTACTATAATCCTTTGAAAACTGAAAGAAAATTATAAGAAACTATCACTTTCTCAAAAAAAAACAAACAGCTGAGTTCTAAAAGCATGGATACCAATAGTTGATTTCCTTAAAAACTGCTTCATGCAATATCAGAAACCCATGATGAAGGAAAGCAGACTTGTCATCAGACTGAGAGGACGACATTTTCCTACAATTCCTCTGAGCTGTCTTTATGAATGACTAACCACGTTGTTTTGTCCAAACGTAACAGAAAAAAATCCACTCAGCTCACATGGACCCTTGACACACAAGTCATCCAATGAGATTTTTCATTATTCGGGGAGAATAACCAGGATCTGTACACAGGGTTTAAAAATGTGTCCGACAGGACCCTCCCCCAAACAACTCGCCACCAAACAAAATGAATAACGGCAGTGTTGGCTGCAAAGGAATGTTACCCCATGAGCATTGCCACGCTCTGTTGTTTATGAAGTAGGACAATTCAAAGTACGTACAGCTTAGAAAAGAGGAGACTAAGGGTGTGTCTAGACTACAGGGTTTTTTCCGAAAAAAGTGGCCTTTTTTTGAAAAAAACTTTCCCTGCATCTAGACCTCTGCCGTGTTCTTTTGAAAGTAAATGGAAAGAATGTGGTAGTTTTTGAGACCATGGAAAACTTCATTTTATGAGGAAGAACACCTTTTTTTGAAAGTGCTCTGTCAAAAAAAAGGTGCTATGTAATGTAAACTGTGCTTTTTTGAAAGAGAGCGTCCAGAATGCCTGGGTGCTCTCTTTCGAAAAAGCGGCTTGCTTTTTCGAAAGTACTGGTTGTAGTCTAGATGCTTTTTTTCGAAAGAGGCTTGCAGTCTAGACATAGCCTAAGGGGGGGATAAAATAGAGGTCTATAAAATCATGACTGGTATGGAAAAAGCGAATAAGGAAAAGTTATTAACTTATTCCCACAATATAAGAACTAGGGGTGACCAAATAAAATTAATAGGCAGCAGATTTAAAAACAAAAGGAAGTTTTTCTTCACTCAGCGCACAGTCAGCCTCTGGAACTCTGCCAGAGGATGTGGTGAAGGCTAGGAGTTTAATAGGGGTCAAAAAAGAGCTAAATAGATTCATGGAGGTTAGGTCCATCAATGGCTATTAGCCAGGATGGGTAGGAATGGTGTCCCTAGCCTCTGTTTGTATGGAGGTGGGTGATAGGGGAAGGATCACATGAGGATTACCTGTTGTGTTACCTCCCTCTGGGGTATCTGGTATTGGCCACGGTTGGCAGACAGGATACTGGGCTAGATGGACTGTTGGTCTGACCCAATATGGCCATCCCTGGGGGCCACAATGATACTCACAGCACATGCGGAGGGCCGCAACTTAAGTGTGGTTGCATATACAACCGCTCCCCGCGTTATGACCACCTCCACTTAGGACCATCCACACTTACGACCAAAGCGGTCGTAAATGTGGATCCGAGCTATGAACGGTGATCCGCGCTTACGTACAGCGCAGTTGCCATGTAACTCTATGGGATCCGAGTTACGAACACTTTGAGTTAAGGCCAAGTCTTTGGTCCGTAACTCGTTCGTAACTCGAGGAGCGGCTGTATATGCAAATAGCTTCTTTCACACTGATAGGCATGAATACAGAGATGAAGCCTTAAGCTGTGGTTCCGGACCCAAACTTGGCCAGTGAGAGTCATTCAGCACCTCTCAGGCTCTGCCCACAAAGCTAAGCAGACAGTACTTCCCACAATGCCTCGGCGCTCCTGGCACCTCCTCCCTGGGGGCTAGAAACACCAAAACCCTGTACCCCTCTGATCCAGCCAGCCCGTCCGCTTGCATCTTTCAATGCTCATCATGCCTGGAAGACGCCTCATGGTGTGGAGCATGTTCCCTGTGGAGGCCATGTTCAAAGAATCCTACCATGTTGAGCCCCGGGCAAACCCAAAGTGCACCAAAGACCACAAACAAATGGGCCATGGGCGACATGCAGCCCGCAGGCCACATGTTGAGTAGCCCTGATACAAGCGCTTAAAATGAAGGTTTCTGCAGTATACGCTCAAGAGGTATTTTGGAGGTGGAGTTGGGCAGGGAGCGGGAAAGAAGGAACTCACAATGGTGATGCTGTTGCAATCAACCCTCTGATGGCCCCAGATTGGATCTTTAGATCCTACTCCACGCCCTTGTCGGAGCCCAGCGAGGTGAAGCAGAATCTGCACTCAGGGGCCTGCATCGCCAAAGGGGAACAGCATAGCTGAATGACCTGTATGCATTTGAAGCTGACTTTGTCAATAGATACAAATTTAGGGGCCAATCCAGCCTGTTCTCCAAAAGTCCCTTGAGAGCACAAACAATGGGGCTGCGGAGGGGCGCCAGCCCCAGGGTAGAATGCAGCACAGCTGAGTGCTAACCTGCAGGTCACAGGAGAAGCATGTGAAGCTGTGTGAAAAGACAGGAAGGGGAGCGAAGAGTCCTTAATAAAAGACCCAACAGAGAGCAAAGACTGACCCAGAGCAGCTGACACAGTCTGCACTGCTAAAACCTGCACTGTAGATGTTCCAAGTCGGGCTGGGACCTGGCCTCTGAAATCTGGCCATGTGAAGAAGTGGGTTGTGTCCACAAAAGCTCATGATACCATCTACACGTTTTGTAAGTCTTTATTGGTTGTTTTTCAAGTTTTTCCAGTTAGGGTACCCCCTGAAGCTTTCTGATAGAGGAAGGGGGGAGGGGAACTAGTCAACTTCCCTGTCGACTATCTGATAAGCATTTGCTTATCGTGTAGTCAACTAGTCATTCACATCCCTAGCCTAGAGGCAGGACTCATTCTCTCTCTGCCTTTCATCATCCTTCTTTCCAGGCTCTCAGAATGGTTGCTCAGGCCAGTGACTAGGCTCTAGATTTGATCTTTAGTGATGAACTAAAATTGACATTTTATTATTTCATTCAATCACATATTCAGAGTGTAGAGGTGCTCACTAAAATCAAAACACAGCTACTCAACTTCACTGCAATCCAAAAATAGGGATGGAGATCATGCCATGCGCTCTGTTCAGACTAACCCAGTGCAATTACACATTTTATGTTACATGTTTATTCACACAAACTATAAAACACCCAAACTGCTACTCACCTGTAAAACGTGACATTTTCATAAAGTACTGCTTTCCAACGCCTCCTTCCTGAATTCTTAAATTGACAGAAGTCCCTTCAGCTGCCGTCAAGAATCAGGGCTCTAAGAAACAAGAGAAAAATATCACCCCAAAATTTACTACTGTGGTTCCAAAGGGAAATATGACTTTTTCCCAGTTAATAATGCAAATGAGCCTGGAATAGATTGCACAAACCACCGCACATTCACAAGGCTTTCTGCTCACATCCAGACTGTAGTCAGTCCTCAGCAAAGTACCCAATAATTTCTCCTCCAATTTCTCATTTAATTAGAAAGGAGACCCATTTATTAAAAGTTAGTTTAATCAAATGAATTCGTTTCTGAGCACTCAGTGAGGCACCCAGATCCTCAAAACTGCATACGGCCCGATGACTATGCACTGCAAAATGAAAACGCAGCAGCAACACCACCACTACTTATCCAGGGCTGTTTGGTGGGTTTCCTAAAGTAGCTGAGAACCATAAAGATCAATTAGCCAGGAGCATGTTTAAAGTACTGATCACAGCAGCCTAACCCACACGGCTGCAGCCTGTAGCTATATATAAACTTGCCGTTTTACTTTTAGCTTTGTGCTTTCTCTCCCTCCTCCATTTTCCTCAGCTGCTGTCCCTGCCATAAACAGTCCAAGATATTTCATAATTTGTAAACATGTCCTTACGCAGGGATAAACGACCAAGTTGAGGCTGAGAACTAAATTCACAGACAGATAAAATTACATGTAAAAACTGCCCTGGAAAAAGGTGTGCTAAAAGTCATACCAAGGTAGGAAATCAGAAAATCACACTAGAATTTCCAGGAAGGAAAATTCACACCAGCTGAGGGGGGGGGGGAGAGTGTTACTAGCTTCACTAGTTTCCTACCACTTAACGTATGTGTTGCAAACTCCCAACAGAAAGCCCCAGTAAAGAGGTGTCACTGCAATCCAAAGCACCTCTGTCTTTTGCAGCAAGCAGCTGTTCCCAGCCACAAATCCCATGCCAAATCTCTCTGCTGCTTCTTAGGTTAGGATCTGCTGCAAGTAAGCTCTCTGAACTACTCAGCTTTACTCCGGGATTCCTACCACTTAACGTATGTGTTGCAAACTCCCAACAGAAAGCCCCAGTAAAGAGGTGTCACTGCAATCCAAAGCACCTCTGTCTTTTGCAGCAAGCAGCTGTTCCCAGCCACAAATCCCATGCCAAATCTCTCTGCTGCTTCTTAGGTTAGGATCTGCTGCAAGTAAGCTCTCTGAACTACTCAGCTTTACTCCGGGAAATGTATCTGATGAAATATAAGAGTCACTTTTCCATTGAGACAATCAGTGCAGGAACACGTGTAAAGTGGTGATGAAGGGGATTTCCCTTTGATTGCATGTTAGAACCTTCCAACAGCACTCCCCCCATACACGCCCATACACACATTACCAAACTGGACATTGCACTAATACAGTTGGAAACAAACCAGGAGCCAAAATTATCTATACAGATTTGGGAAGAGTTCAGAAAGGTCAGGCCCTAAATGTGCCCTGCCTTAAACATGGTTACAGGCTCTGTGGATTTCTAAGCATAGTAATTATCCACACTATTCAGGGAACAAGCATGTATGGAACCTGACATCTATTCTTAGATAGCATGGGGTCACTCTCTGTATATTAGTCATTTGACAGCATGTCAGTGGCATTTTCCAGTCTCAATACAGAAAGATGCATTGTGAAATAACACAGCTTACCACTTCTTCAAAGCGTACTAAGCAGCTCACAGAAACATTGCTGCACCTTTCCCTTTATCAACAGCAACTTAGGTCCCTGTTCTTAAATGTCAAATGACTTCTCTACTGCAGTTATTCTCCCTAAAGCCTCTTTGATCCCACTATTCCTGTGAGCGTAGGACTCCAGCTTAGACTTGGAAGTTATTTTCACCGTGTTTAAGGCCTCCTTTCCACCTCAGGGTTGAGATGACTATTTGGTAACTGTAACAGCAAAGAGTGTGCGATGTCATAGAAACCTTTATGAAGGCACATCAGTTTTCTGGGCTGTACTTCACGGGCCAAATTTTTCAAAAGTATGTGTGCACAGGACTTCAGTGGTTCTATACCAGGCATACACAGTTTAATTTACAGGGAACAATAAGTGCTTGGGTGGCTGCCCAGAAGAGAGTCAAATGCTGCCCAGTTGATTAGCAGAGCACTCACAACCTCCCTCTGACTGCAGCTTCTATTGGTGGTGCACATCTGCACACACTTCAGTGTTCATAAAACTTATTCTGCACATGGATAGGAAAAAAGTAAAGAGAACATTGACCTTGACTCCTTTAAGTATTTGCCAAGTTTTACAACAGGCTGCATAAAAAGCACTAGCAAACTTAGTACAAACTAAAATTTCATACAGACAGATGTGTACTTACACAGCCTCTCTCTGACTTACGAACCGGTTACGGACCAAGCAATTGGTCATAACTCGGTTTGTTCGTAAGTCAGACCCCATTGAGTTACACGCGACCGCACTGTTCGTAAGTGCGGATCGTGTTCGTAACTCGGGGTCCGCCATTTACGACAGTTTCGGTCATAACTACGAACAGTCGTAAGCTGATTGTTCGCAACTCGGGGACCGGCTGTACTCCAATTGATTTGTGTTATAATTACATGGTAACAAATGAGAAAATAAGCAATTTTTCAGTAATAGTTTCCTGTGATACTTCTGCATTCTTATGCCTGATTTTGTAAGCAAGTAGTTTTTAAGTGAGGTGAAACTTAAGAGCATATGCAAGACAAACCAAACTCCTGAAAGGGATACAGGAATATGGAAAGGTTGAGACCCACTGCATTAGAGCATAGATCAAGTCCTGTGCACATAAAAATGGACATGCATTTTGGAAATCTAACCCTGCATCTGACAGGTTACAAGAGTAACAGAACATGGGGGAAGGGGAAGAAACGGCTTTAAACTCTTGCCAAATGCCTTTCCTGCATGCATATTTTTATAAAATGTTTATTTTTAACTACCTAGATTTCAACACACTTTGGGAAACAGCCAATTTTGAATGTCAGAACCTTGACTTAACAGATGACAAAGCTCTGTATGCCAGGAAAAGTTTCATGAATAACAAGACAAATACTAGACTGCTGCTCAAGTGCTTTTTATTCTAGTAGCTTGCATAAAGATCCTGTAACAACAAGCATAGGGTTGAAAGTCTTGTAGGCAGCTTATCTGTAATTCTTTCTGTGATAGCAGCAATTAGAATAGATCCATAGGTTTCGCAGATCCAAGCTTATCTTTGCCATTATTTACTGTCTGTTATTGCCCAGGTTATCAATACCAGTTTGGGTCCAATTCACTTGTACATAATAACCATATGGTCAACAATTTTAAGAAGCAACTAGTGATTTTGAATGCCTGGATTTAGGGTGCCCAAATTTAAGAAAAGGGGCCACATATTGAGTCAGTGATTAGCACTTTCTGAAAATAAACTACCTTGTAAGGCATCTCAAGTTAGGGATACCGGAAATTTGAAACACCCATAATCACCAGTCATTTTTGTAATGTTTAGACCCCAATATTCAATATGGTACTGCAAACTCTTATTCAATATGCTAATAAAACAGAGCGGGCCAGTTCTTGCCAGGAGCACAGAAATGAAGGTTAAAAAAAGACTGTGCTTAGTTGCTGCTGTCACAGTTATAAACACTTTTTTGGAGATCCTGGGCTAAAACTCCAAAACAGTGGTGAGAATGACCAAGAGTAAAACTGTCCACACAAAGTACCTTCAAATGGACAAAGATGACTGTTAGTGACTAAACTCTTTCAGAGAGAAATCTTAGGGGTTTCTTGTAATAATACATGTTCAAAATTTTCTAGTTTACTGAAGTTTACTTTATATTAGTGAATTCCAGAGAAGCCCTAATACACACACCAACATTGCCGCTAATCTTTTCCACCCATGTGTGGAATAATGTATATGCACTGAGACGTGCAAATGTGCACTACCAATAGAAACACAAATCCTAGATGTGGGCGCTCTTCTAGTCAGCTGAACAGCATTTGAATTTCACCTGAACAGCGGCAGAAGCACACAGATTACAGGGAACACTGCTAAAGATATTCTCTGATTTGCCAGCACCACCTACCTATCTTTGCTGCACTTCCAATTAAGAACAACCTGGTCATGAAAGCAGCAAAGCTGATCAGACATTTGATACATAAAAACTTATTATATGAGAAACATTTTCATGAAAAGGGGGAAGTGAACTGATCTTCAGCAACTTTTTAAAACAAGTAGACCTCTGACACCTTAGAGACTAATAAATATATAGATTATCATGAGCTTTCATAGGCAAAATCCAAGATATATATTTTTAATCTCTAAGGTGCCCACTGGTCTACTCATTTTTAAAGGTTTTTTTTTTAAGTTACAGACTAACACAGCTCCGCCCCCTCCCTCCCTCCTGAGACTGTTCCCTAAACACTTCAACCAAACCTTAAATCATCTGCCATAACACCATCAGGAATTGAAGTCATTCTGCTTCCAGGCAACGGTTTCATTTCAGTACTTTTTAGGATGACTTTCAGTAAAGCCACATGTTTTCCTATTGCGTAGTAGGGTATGCTGACTGCTCACACAAAGCCGAGTTAAAAGGGAAATGTACAGTTTGAGCTGATACTTTGTATGCATGCTGGGGAAGGTAGCATAATAACAACTTCTCCAAGCCTCTCTCTGCAGGAGGTTAAGCTGCTAAGGAGGGAAATGACACTTATGGAAGGAAACAATTTAACTGTCTGATGACCTCCAAAATCCTGTCTCAAAATGTGTTACTTTCTTCCAGCTGAGTAACAATTCCAGGGCTGTGGAGAAGCTATCCTGATCAAGTCTCTGGCAAAAAACAAAAAACAAAAAAACACAACTACTTGTTATTTTTAAAGTTACAGACTAACACGGCTACCCCTCTGAGACTTCAAAAAAGGAATGCACCTAGGGCTGCTCCCTCCTATGCTTTCTAATGTCCACAATAATATGGGGGCAAATGGGGAGCTGTGGTGGGTTTTTTAAAAGGTTTTCTTGAACTCACCAGTCACTACATCAGCCTACTCC